TTGTCACATTTATTATTTGAATTGTAAGTCTGCCCAGAGCCGCTGTGCAGAACGGGATGGGCAGCTTATAAATTTACAAATAAATGTAAAATGGTCAAATTGGAAATCTGCCTCGATCCAGGGATCCCATTCAGGCAAAATGCAGGGAAGGTAGCTCCATCCAAAGAGATGGCGAGAATGAAAAACCTGATTTTTCTTGTTTCCCATTGTAATTAGTACAATTACTTTTGGGGTTGTCATTGATTCCCCTGAATGAACCTTTCTCTAAATTAAATGCACAGTCTAAGATCCATCACTCATCTCAAGGACCATTAAGGGTGGGAGAGTTTTGGGAAGAAGCAAATTGATGCCGTATTTTTGCCTTGGCACTGGTCTCTTTGTTTTTTTGCATATGTTCTGCTTCAACAGTGGTATGACTGACCCTTGCAAATTACTCTTTCTTGTTCTCTCTGCAAACCAAGTGACTCAGAAGAGTGGCAATGCAGAAAGCGATGATCTCAACTTTAGGCATCATCAAGAGCTACGATGGCGTGGTGGTTAGAATGCAGTATTGCAGGCTGACTCTGCCCACTGCCAGGAGTTAGAAACCGACCGACTCAAAACTGGACTCAGCCTTCCATCCCAAATGATGACCCAGTTTGTTGGGGGCAATATGCTGACTCTGTAAATTACTTAGAGGGCTGTAAAGCACTGTGAAGCGGTATATAAGTGTTATTGCTATATACAACACTTTACAGCACTCTCTGGGTGGTTTACAAGGTAGAAGCATTGTTTGCATGTTGTTCCCACCTTGGGTCTTCATTTTACTGACCCTTCCACCCCATCAGGATCGAACTCCGGACTGTGGGCAGAGTTTTCCTGCAATGCTGCACTATAACCGTAAGAGAAATCTAAGTGGCTATTGCTATCTTTTATTAGGACCTTCCCGTGACCTTGCCACAACTGTATATCTATTTTGTGGAACTCTGGTGTGAAAACCCACACCGAGCTGGTTATTTGCGTGGAGCAAATTAGCATATAAGAGAGAAGTGCATAAGCAAGTTGTCCATTAATATGCGTCTCGTGCTGTGAGCAAGTGTTAAAGAGTCCAGCTCTCATTGGCAAATAGCTGGTAGATAAGATGACCTAATCACTATGCACATTAAGACATTTGTTTCATTAAGGGAGTCTAAAAATAAAGAACTTACTTGTGGGAAGCAGCATAGAAACTGAATCCATCGGCATGTAAGTGACAGGTATATTCTCATCAGTTCTTTCTTCACCTCATTAAAATATCCATTTGGGACCAGAGAATCGGTTCCAAAATAAAATAGAGGAAAAAGTTACTTCCTTTCATAGACCTGAATGTCTGAAAAGCTTGTTTTCCTGCCAGGTCTTATTGTTTTCCTAACATCCAAGGGCCACTGCAGTGGCAAATCAGGTTTACAAGAGAGGTGTAAATTAGTTCCTTTTTCTCGCCTTAAGAACCAGGTCACGGGTGCACGCCCACTGATCTGGCAGTGAGTACAAAAATCACATCCCAAGCTTCAAGAAAGAAGAAAGGAAACCAAGATCAGTTTTCATTTCAGCAGATAAATTAAAAATAAAATGAGAAGAGAAGAGAAGAGCCAGAAATAGTAAGTAAGTGCTTCTTAAAATAAAATGAAGTACAACCTTGATATTCTCCAGTTGTGTGGATTTTGATTCCCAGAATGTAATTAATGGCCATGTTGGCTGAGGAATTCTGGGAATTGAAGACTGTGCATCTCCAGGGGGATCCAGGTTGGGAGGTTGAATTAGATGTAGACTTCATTCAGTTCAATCATCCGATCAGGAATTTCAATCTTCAAAAGTGCAGTCAATAGGATGAATAGCACACACTGTTCTATATTCTCCGCTGGATAAAACAAAGGTTCAGCAAACAACGAAGGAGCAAAGGAGATAAGAAGATAGGAATTTCCAGACAGGGAGAATTCTACTGATGAATCAGAATAACCGAATAAGAGTTGGAAGGGGCCTTGGAGGTCTTCTAGTCAACCCTGTTTTATACCATTTCAGACAAGTGGCTGTCCAGTTTCTTAAAAGCCTCTAGTGATGGAGCACCCACAATTTCTGGAGGCAAGTTGTTCCACTGGTGAATTGTTCGCACTGTCAGGAAATGTCTTAGTTCTAGGTTGCTTCTCTCTTTGATCAGTTTCCATCCGTTGCTTCTTGTCCTTCCCTCAGGCTCTTTGGAGAATAGCTTGACTCCTTCTATTTTGGGGCAACCCAAGATATTGGAACACTGCTATCATGTCTCCCCTAGTCCTTTTTTAAAAAAAAAATCAAACTAGCCATACTCATGAATGACTGGAAGAGTATTTCAGTTGATTTTTTGCAGGTTCTACTAGCACAGTGCTGAATTCTTAGAAAATTCAGTCTCAACAATTCACCTTTCCGCCAATAACCGTATACACAGGAGCAAATGGCAAGTCAATCCAAGCATTGATCACTTTTAACTTCTCTTATTTATCGAAGTTTTGAAGACTCAACTTTCTAGACTTATTGATTTGTTATGAAGGAGCACTGAGAAGCACATCATCACATAAAATATTTCATGTGCTGCTTCGCTGCGAAACAAATATCAATACCTACCTTGAGTGTGTGAACAAATAAAAAATCCTTTGGGGAGTGGGGAAAGTAAGAACAAAACGCCTGCTGTTGGAAAGATGAGATGGGCTTGGGGATTTGCGTGTCTAATGATGGCGAAATCTTTGCAGAAAGTGGAAGTTGTGAGCTGTGAACAGAACCAAACCTAACCAAGGGGTGGACTACAAAAACCTTAGCAAAGGGTTCTCTGCCCGGTTGCTGGGTGGGCGTGGCCATGGTGGGCGTGGCCTAGTCAGCCTCCTGCACCACAGTGGGTGAGAGGGGGGCCTTTTTGCCCTCCCCGGGCTCCGGAGGCTCTCTGAAAGTAGCAAACAGGCCCATTTCCGGCCTTCCCGAACTTCTGGGAGGCCTGTTTTTTGCCCTCCTTGAGACCTGCATGTGCACTTACCTGCATCCAATTTGGGCTGCGTGGCGACTCCTGGGAGGGGAGGGGCAGGGTGGGCGGGGCCAGCCAGGAGTGGAATTTGGGGGTTCTCCAAACTGCACTGAATCTTAGCTAGGGGCTCTCCCAAATCCCTGGGAACCCCCAACAGCCCACCCCTGAACCTAGTTAAACAATACACGTTCGTATACGCTACGTAGATTCAACCACTATCCTTGTAGACTTGGTCTTGTTCTTTCTGCGCCAACTCAGGAAGCTCAAACTGCCCAAGGAGCTGCTGACCCAGTTCTACAGAGGAATCACTGCGTCTGTCATCTGCACTTCTCTAACTGTCTGGTTTGGTTCTGCAACCCAACAGGACAGACACAGACTTCAGAGAGGAATTAGGACTGCAGAAAAAACAATCACTACCAACCTGCCTTCCATTGAGGACCTGTATACTACACGAGTCAAAAAGAGGGCTGTGAAAATATTGTTTCAACTCCTTCCTTCAAAACGACGCTATAGATCACTGCACATCAGAACTAGACACAAGAACAGTTTTTTCCCGAAAGCCATCACTCGGCTAAACAAATAATTCCCTCAACCCTGTTCAACTATTAGTCTGCACTACTATTATTGTTAATCTTCTCACTACTCCTTATCACCCATCCCCTCCCACTTGTGACTGTATGACTGTAACTTTGTCACTTGTATACTTACAATTTATATTGACTGTTTCCTAGTATGATTTGATTGCTTATTGTACCCTATGACTATCATTAAGTGTCATACCTTATGATTCTTGACTCCTGACGAATGTATCTTTTCTTTTATGTATACTGAGAGTATTTACACCAAGACAAATTCCTTGTGTGTCCAATCACACTTGGCCAATAAAGAATTCTATTCTATTCTATTCTATTCTATTCTATTCTATTCTATTCTATTCAAACATATTCAACTAGGGATTTCAAAGCTGGGCAGAGATACACTTGAGAACAAAAAGCAAAATGTTAGGAATATAAGTCACCTAACAGGTATTTGGATTGACAATATATAAACCAGGATAGACATTTTAATACTGTCGCTTTAAGAGCATCCTAAAAACTGCAATTGGGTGTGGTTTCTCAAATGGTCATAAGATGGAGCCAGAAACCTGGGTTGTCTTAGCCTTAGGCTCAGAAGAGAGTGTGAGTGAGTCTGTTTTTCCCTCTGTTGAAGAGTATTGCTGTTCCTCCATTTTTCTTAATTGACTGCTATTTATGGTTTTGATGTAAGTCTGATACTGAACTGTCTTTGACACTGGAATTTGTTATTGGATTATCCCTGGACTGAAAACTAACTGATTTACCTGTGAATGACTTTGGACTGCCTATTTTGAACTTTGCTTAAACTTTCTAGAAGTAAAAACCAACATTTACTGTACAGTGTATCTGTGTGCTGTGTGTGTATTATTCCAACACTGCTCTCAAATACGTCTCCCTGTACGCGCTCATTCTCCTCGACCTCTTTCTCTTTTGAACAGCTTCCCACACGCCCAATCAACCGGATAAGTAATGCAAGAGGACAATTTTGCTAAATATAAAGGTTTACTCAATATAGCTGAAACTGCTCCACAGCCATTACTCAAAAAACAAATGTTCACTTTATCTGCAGTCAGGAGGTAGAAGGGTAGTAGTGCCAACAGTCTCAATGTACAGAGCTATATTTTATTTTCAAAACGAGGTGACTGATGTTAGATATAAATAGTGCAATAATAAATGGATACACAAAGCCAATAAGGATGACTCTTCTCCCTTTGGGAGAGTCATCGGGGAACTTTCAACTCTCAAGTTACGGCTTCAAGACTCACTCCAAGCAACACACGCATTTCACTATTGTGAAGCACACAACCACTGCTGCTGAAAAGGATACACGAGGAACACAGCGAAGCAGGAAATATAACCAGGTTTAAATTTAAAACAAAAAAAAAAACAGGTGTCAAGAGAGTTTTAGCTGTTCTGGAAAGCATCAGTGCTTATCAGTGCTGGTTATTCTTGTTGGCTGGATAGTACAATTTGGAAAGTCAATAAAGGAAGGTTCCAAAACACCCTTTCCCGTTACGCTTGAACTGGTTGCCCGTGATGGACTCCAACATCTCCTGAGACATCTGGCTGCCTGCCTCTGGGATCCCCAGCTGGCTCAGTCTCTTTTGGCACAGGTGGTTCTTCTTCAGCGAGGTGGCCCAAAGCTCCTTTGAAATCTGAATGTTGCCTTCTCCGTCATTGTCGTCGCTGTCTCTTCCATCAGGGTCTACTTCACCACAATCCATTTCATGAGGATCTTCACGGTTCTCAGCGGTGGCGCCTTCAGCATCTTTCGTTTGTTCTTAAATCAGAAACAGGGAGACCAAATGGATTTGACAGCTTATGGGTGTAAGCAGGTCTGGGCTGCTGGGGATTCGGGAGAGGCCCCTAGCTAAGATTCTGCGCAGTTCAGAGAACCTCCAAATCCCACTCCTGGCTGGCCCCTCCCCAGAGTCCCCACGTGGCCCGTTTTGGATGCAGGGAAGTGTAGGGCGTGCGCGAAGGCTCAGGGAGGGTGAAAAATGGGTCTCCCGGAAGTTCAAGTAGGCCGGAAATGGGCCTGTTTCTGGCCTCCAGAGCCCAGGGAGGCCGTTTTCGCCCTCCTGGAGGCTGGAGGAAAACCTCCAGAGCCCAGGGAGGCAAAAATGCCCCCCCCCACCAAGCACCGTGGTGCAGGAGGATGACTAGGCCACACCCACCATGGCCACACCCACCCAGCAACCAGGAAGATAACCCTTTGCTAAAATTTTTGAAGCCCACCCCCGGGTGTGAGTCAGTCCATGATTGACAGTGTTTGACTTAAATCTGCAATGGATTCATTGATCACCCTGGGCCATAATACGGTTTGGTTGGTTCTGATTTGGTGCATTGGGGAGCCGAAACTGTTGCAGTAGGAAAACACCGGCTTAGGCTACCTTGCAATCTGTATCTTGCACCACGCCCTTTCTGCAAGCTTAATAGCAATGCTGATAGATTTCCCTGCATCGAACCCCTTGCATCGGAGTGCAGTCAAAGCAACTGAACTGGATGGAGCTGAGGATTTACTGGCCGGGTGCCCTTCCCAATGCCTACACAGAGCTCACAGCAGATATTTTTTCCCTTTGTGCCCAGAGAGAGAGAAATATCTGCTGCTACCTAGGATCAAACTCACAGCCTCCTGATTGTGAGGCGAGAGCTCCACCTCTAAGCCACCATGCCGCTCATTTGCCAGTACTGTAAATAACATCAATAAAACCATACCTGACATGCTTTCTGGCATGACCTCACTAGCCTCTTTGGGTTTCACCAGCACCACACCATAGCCTTCATTATTGTGTATCACATTGTTCTTCATGGTTATCTTGGGAACGTCAAAATGCTCATCCAAAAAGTTCTAAAAGCCGAGAGAAAGAGAGTTGAATGAGATTTACCCAGATCAGCAGTTCTGAGAAGACTACTTTACAACTTATTTGCAGATGGAAAGCCAAATAATTCTTTTCACCATAGACTCAAATGAAGTGCATTTACTTTACGGTACTCAGCTCTCAAACTGGGACTCACCTTGATCAGGATTCCTTCTTTACAATGATGTAGCCCATTCCCAATCAAAATGCAGGTGCTACCAGGGTAGATTTCAATCCCAGCACCCTGAAATTTAAGAGAGGAAACAGTTGAGAAGCAGGTTAAAAATAGGAGAGATCATGTCCCAAAAGGGGACTTTTTCGAGAGGCAGTTGGGACCTTCTTTTATTTTTCCTTTGAAGACACTTTGCTTCTTCCGAATAAGTTTCTTGGAAGAGAAGCGAAAAACGTCTTCAAGGAAAAACAAGAAGGGCCAATTGTCTCTTGAAAAAGCATCTTAGAGACAACCAAGACCGGAATGACCGAGAACCTCCACAGAAAGGAGAGACAATGAATGACTAAAGAATGCTAATTTGGTCTGGAAACTTCTCCAGGGACAGCTGCCTTCAACGGGAATCCATAAAACGGACGGAAAAGATGCAGGAAACGTAGCAAACAGTGTGAAAAACTACACAACGTTTCAAGTAGAGGTAGCCTTTGACTTAGGGCTGCAATGGGAACTGCCCATTATGGTTGTAAATCGTGACATTGGTGTTAACTCATAAAATATTTATCTGGTGTTTTTAGAGTTCTCAACAGAAATTGAGAGGGGTGGAGCAGTGCAGCAGCTTGCAAAACGGAAACTGTATTCCTGTTGTGGTTAGCCAGCAGCAGGTGCGGATGGCTGAGGAGAGCAAGGACTCAGATGAGGAGCCAGGACCATCAGGGAGTGGACTGCTGCCTTCAGAGAGTGTGGGGGCTGGCAGCAGCGATGAGGAGTTTCCCGAGGAGCCTGTGCCAAGTGCCCGTGTGCACAGGATTGCTCGTAGAAAAGAACAGCTGCAGCAGCATGGGCAACTCGGGAGTACGGCTGCACAGTAATGGCCCCTCCTTCAAGAAGATAAAAGCCAGCTGTGAATCGGACGTTCTTTGCAGGAAGCAAAGACATTTTGAAACTCGAGCCTCGTGGACCTTGCAGTATCTTAGATGGTATTTGAAGACTCTTGTGTTGTAAAATATTTCTAGGTAACCTTATCTGTTATTCTTGGCAGCCTCGTGCTTTTGGCGAGGCTCGTGCTTATCAAAGTTAATTAGTTTGCAGCAGCCTTTTAGCCAGGGATTTGTAAGAATTATTAAAAGGTTTCTGTTCGCTTTGGTTCATGTTTGTTTTATTGGAAAAGGGTTGGGGTCAGAACAATTCCATCAATGTTTTCAGAAACAGTAACTAGGTGACTGAAGTTTCTGCTGCACAAAATTCTATCTGGAGAGCATGATTGATGACTCTTGGCTATGGATGTGTCCCATGGGAGAATATGAATTATGATACACCGGGGGGGGGGGGAACCAGGGTCAAGGGTGATAATGAATTATGTGTATCAGAGTCGGCTCTAACTAGGAAGTGCCAGACATGTTAACTCCCAATAAATCCTTTTTAAGTTTTGGAAGTTTGGCTCAAGACTCATGATTTAATTGGGGGTAACTGCCAGAGCCCTGACAATTGGGTAATCATGTGACCAGATCCGATTTTACCAGTTTTGTGGCGGTCATTAAACAAATGCCAGAGTCACAAAGCAAAAGCTGTCAGTTGTTAAGGGAACCCACTGTTCACTATATGGGGCATTTTTGCCCCAAAGCAGAAACAAATGCTAGTTTTGGACAAAAACATTGTAAATGACAGTTATTGGACCATGGAACACTGGCAAAACAGCCATAAATGCGGGCCATTTGCCAAACCCCTGAAATGCAGTCATGTGACCAGGGAGGGGTGGGGGTGTTGGACCTCCAGAACTGGTCATACGTAAATTTTGAGGAGTCCGTCATAAACAACGGGTCATAAGTCAAGGATGACCTGTAGTGGAAGAGTCAGCTATTCGCTCTAGTTTGTATAAATCTATGGCTACATCACTAGCAACTAAGACATCCTGAACATAGCAAGAGCTATTGCTCAGCAAACATGCAGGGCTTCATTTTTGGACTTCTACCAGATTTTGCAATGTGCCATCGCTGAGATTGTCAATCCAGGTAGCTTCATTTGAACCCTTTATTTGTTATCAACCCATCTTCTTTTGATAAGAGGTGTCAACCACGGTGATGGATCCATAGAAGTTCTTTGATGCTCTAGAAAGGAAGGAACCAACGAATGCAAATATCTCTTCCTACCTTCGCCCCATACAGGTCAGAGTTCTTCATGAATAACTCGGCAGATGTCCGGATGGCAACTCCAGTTGTTTCACACTGCAACACACAGTTTTCCAGAGTAGTCCTTCCTTGATGAACACCTGTGAAAAATATTGTGGTCTTGAATTTGTGGGCGCACAAACAAGACTTCAAAGACAAAACTTCCCGGTGAGCATAAACAAGGAATTTTGAAATGCTTCAGCAAAACATATTTTGTCAGGTACCTCAATTCATTCTTAAGTCAACAGAATTACTGATTTCCACAAACACAGCCATCCATTGGATGATTGGTCTCAAAACACAAAGCCCCAGGTGCATTTTGGTACGCAAGTCCTTTTGTGGATGACACATGCTTTGATTAAAAATCAATGAGCGCAATCATTTCTTGATGATAAAAGTAGTATAGCCAACACACAGGCTTTCAGAAGTCTCGTATGAAGAAACGAGCAGAGTTATTCTAAACAAGACAGTTAAAATAATAATAATAATAACAATAAATCTTTGAACTATTGGGTTGCTACTACCCAAATCTTTAATCTGCATCAGGCAAAGCTGGCTGGGGAATTCTGGGAGTTGAAGTCCACGAGGCTTAAAATTGCCAAGGTTGGAGAACTCTGCTCTAAAGAGTACACCGTGAGAATGAAGAAGCAATTCTAGAAGTTTTAGACCAGTTCTGATTTTCTCGCATCAAAAGGTAGCAGCTCATATTAAACACTTACTTTTTTTTGAAAAGGACACAATGTATAAATTTACCCTGCTAAAGAATATATTAGGGACAAGCAATTAATCACTTTCTCCAAGAATGGCTCAAGCACCCACTACCCAATTATTTTCTTTTGGTGGGTGAATATATTTTCACATAAAAAGGTGCTGAAATAATCTTGCTAGCCCATGCAGCATTTGTTATTCAAATCCACATCTCAGATGATGAAGCGTTAATTATCACGTTCTTTAAAAGGCAGAGGGACACAGCTAACAAAAATTCATCAAATTCTGGGGTAGGGTGGGGAGAAGGGTGGAAGAAAAGAGGACAGGAGAGGTGGCTGGTCCCCATTAGGAAACAAGGGACTTTAAAGAAACTTTGAACATCGAACATTAAGGAAGATCATCCCGTTTGTCTGCTTTAGCAGGTCACATAAAATCAATACTATGGAAAGAAATGGATGGGGAAAGGGGAATACAATAAACTTAAAACAATGGATGCTCTAAAGCTGTTAATTCTGATTACTATAATCAAGAGGCAAGTTTTACCCAATGGATGTGATCCTCAAATATATTTCTCTGCGGAGTCCTTGATCTTCTCTAAGCTTAGTTGTTTTCCTTGCAGGTGCTTGTTACCTGGGCAGGTAACACCAAGAATAATTGGTTGCAAACAAACAGCTTAGCTCAGAGAACATAAAAGGCTCTACAGTTCAACCCCGAGTTAAATATATTGTCTACCATTGGAATATTTCTCTGTATACTAAATGAAGACTGTGTTCCGACAACCAGTCTAGTTTAGAAAAAAAAAAACCTAGCAAATGCGTTTCTTGGTGGGTCTTCCCCTTGATCACGTTTTGTGTCAATCATAGAAGAAGAGTTTTATAAGACATAAGACATAAGAATTTATTTGTCATTACACTCGCAAGCGGGTGCAACGAAATGAGGTGCTCTTCCACAAGTAAAACTGGACAACACCATTGAAAGAAAAATAAAATTAAACACAACAGACCATACAATAATCTCTATACAATTTAAAAATGTAAATACCCCATTACTCTCAGCCATTAAATTCCACAAAATCTTATGACCCTGCATTCAAACTCAAAACTGCACTTGGATAAAAACTGTTCTTAAATCTAGTCATCCTTGTTCTTAATACCCTGAATCTCCTTCTCGATGGTGATAGTTCAAAGAGCTGATGTCCCGGATGAGAGGAGTCATTCAATATATTAAATATCTTCCTCTTACATCTATTCCTATACCGTTCTTCCAAAGAGGGGAGTGAGCAGCCAATGATGTTTTGGGCCATCTTAATCACCCTCTGAATTTTATGTATTCTATTCACTTTCATCTCTACCAAAGAAAGTTGGACGTCATTTTTTCCAGGTTTTTTTTTTCTTCCACTATTATCTGAGCCTTTTCTTCTCTCAAATCTGTTCCTGTTGGTTTATTTTTTTAACTTTGCCATTTTTAAAAAAATTGTTAGTTAGGTCAACGAGCTTTGTATGTTGAGCCAAACCCAGCGATGGGGTCAATTCATTGTTCAGCGCCTTAAGTTTATTAGAGAAGTCAGCAATCAATTTAAGGGTGCCGGTGAGTGCTGCTTGGGCGCTATTCCCTCCTGATGGCTTTTGTCATTGGTTAGCCAGCAGAAGATAACACCTTGCAATAGACATATACGGTGGTGCAGTGGTTAGAATGTAGTACTGCAGGTCGATTCTGCTCACTGCCAGGAGTTCGATTCTGAGCAGCTCCAGGCAGTGGTGGGATTCAAATTTTTTTTACTGCTGGTGTGGTTTTGTGTGCATGGTAGGGGAAGGTTGCTGCAAAATCTCCATTCCCTCCCCACCCCACTAACCTGCTTTCCAGCTCCGTTCTCCTGTGCAGGGCAACCAAAGACGACCCAGCCGATCAGCCGGGACTCAATGGGAGGCAGAGAATAACTGGGGGTAGGGCCAGTCAGAGGTGGGATTTGCCAGTTTTCCGAACAACTCAAAATTTCCGCTACTGGTTCTCCAGAACTGGTCCAAACCTCCTGAATACCACTTCTGGCTCCAGGTTGACTCAGCCTTCCATCCTTCTGAGGTGGGTAAAATAAGGACCCAGATTCTTGGGGGCAAGAGGCTGACTCTGCAAAATGCTTAGAGAGGACCGTAAAGCACTGGGAAGTGGTATATAGGTCTAAGGCAGGGGTCTGCAACCTAAAACAGAGAGAGCCACTTGGACCCGTTTCCCACAGAAAACACCGGGAGCCAATAATTTAACAACCGGTGTGACTGAGTGGGTGCGGCCAAGTCGATGTCACTCACTCCCATCCAGTCACCTCCTGCTCTGGAATATGGAGCGACTCTCCATCCCCCGCCATCACCCTCACCTTCTCAGGCCAGGCAAGGAGTGATGGGGAGGGGAGGGGCCCATCAGCGGTGGGAACAGGGAGCCGTAGCAGAGGACCAAAAGGGCCACATGTGGCTCCAGAGCCGCAGATTGCCAACCCCTGGTCTAAGGGCTATTGCTATCAGACACACCCTTGCATCTTGGAACATCCATTGGTTATATATGCCTCCTTTTGACCCGGGGAGTCAGCAGGCCAGCTCAAGAAACTCACTCAGAATGCCTTTCTCCGCATCATGTTGGATGAGCTTCAGGTTAGAGATTTTCACATCCTTTCCGGTACATTCAACGAAAGCATGAGACTTCCCTTGCTTTTCTATCACGATGTCATCCGGCAGCCCATAGCCTTGGCAAAAAATAAAGACAAAACGAAAAGAGATGGGCTATCTTTCTGCAGGTTATTAGATCTCCAGAGACAGTAGATAAAACTTCCATAGAAAAATACTCTCTCTTAATTGTTCCATGCTAGTGTAGGATAGAAAAGAAGTGCTCCCGAGTTCTACCATCCCATCATGCTCAACAGCCAGGGATTATTCTAAACACCGATCGTCAATCTTTGCATGGTTCTAGCAAAACTGACTGGGATTTAAATTATAATTCTATGCACCTGCATTACCAAGAAGAACTGCCTGCTTTATTCAGTGGTCTCACAAGCCCATATAGGGCAGTGATGGCTAACCTTTTTGTCGTCACGTGCCGAAAGTGCGCATGGCTTGCGCATGCAGGTGTGCCTGCACCCATAATGCAATGTGTTAGGAATCTGTACATAAATTAGTTGGGTTGGCAATATATAAACCAACAATGTATGTTTGTAGCTTTAAGAGAAGATCACTGTATTGGTTTGTGCTATATTCCGATTGGTTGATTGTATTGGAAGTTGCCATAAGAGAGAGCTAGAGAGATCATAGCTTGTTCTCTCTCTCTGACATTCTGCTGCTATCTAAGGTTCTCTGTTGTGCTTATAATTTGATATCTTTGTTTACTGTAAATGACAGAGGCAACCTGTAAGAAGACTTTGTAGTTGGATATTCTTTGGACTATTAAACGTGTATGACCTGGACTGTTTATTGGACTGTGCTATTTCTTAAAGTAAACTTTAACTCAATTCAGTGTAGTTGTGTGTGGCTGAATAATTATTCATAACTACTCTCATAAATGTTTCCATGTGCATATCCTTGTTATTCAAGGGTTATTCTGTACATATCATAACACAATACACACACGACCCCTGCTGCGTGGCTCGTGCCCCCCTGTGCATGCGTGTGTAACCCCCATGCTCCCCACCCTCTGTGCATGCGCGTGACCCCCTCATGCTTCCCCGGCCCCTGCACATGCGCGCGACCCGCTGTGCCCCCCATCCCCTCTGCGCATGTGTGTGTGACCCCCCGTGCTCCCCCTGCCCCCCTACACATGCGTGTGTGACCCCCGGTGCTTCCCCTGCCCCCTATGCATGCGCGTGTGAGCCTGTGCTTCCTCACCCCCCTGCACATGCACACTCCCCCACACTTCCTGTGCATGCGTGTATATCTCCCACAGGTGCCCCGTCCCCCACACATGCGCAGTAGATACCCCAAAATCAGCTGGCTGGTGGGAGGTGCGTGCGCATGCGCAGTAGAACTGAGCTGGGACAGCTCCTGTGGCGGCAGAGATGGATCTGCATGCCACTTCTGGCACGTGTGCCATAGGTTCGCCATCACGGATATATAAGGTTTCCTGAACAGTGGGACAGCAGGTTTCCTGAGCAGAGAGCTGGACTAGAAGACCTCTAAGGTCCTTTCTAACTTAGTTATTCTGTCCAAAATCGTGGTAGTGCATTATACACAATGACTCAATTTTAAAGAGTCATGCAGCCAGCTAAATTTTCTCACCCAAAAGTTCAGGAAGCACTATTGCAACTTCCAAATGGATTGGAACCTGATTCTTGATTAAACAAGCAACTTGTCTTAATCTGTGCAACATCCCTTATCTACTTAAAGCATTGTTTTTAAGCGAGATACTGTTATGTACCGCTTAGGAATGTTAAGAAGGCTTCATGCTGTTTGACTTAGCTTTCCTCAAATTGATATTCTCCAGATGTGCCCAGGTACGGCTCACACTATCTCCAACTACAACGCAATACACCTTGAAGGTACATTCCGGCTTAAAATAAATTCCTTGGTAATCCCTCCAAACAAACGAAGTAAGGTGCACTGGGGAAAGATACTTTTTTCAAGAAACAGCCTCATTTTCCTGGCCTTGTGGTCTGCCGGCGGCCTGCAGAGCTGGCAGCAGAGTCGGGCAGTGGGGAGGAACACGGGCCAGTCCGGGAGTCTGGGGAGGACTCGGGACGAGGGATCTGCGTCCGACACAGAGATGTGGCCAGGGCCATATGGGAGTTATGCAACTGGAAGGTACGACCAACTGTGGGGACTCTGGAAAAAGTGCAGAGAAGAGCAACAAAGAGGATTAGGGGACTGGAGGCTAAAACATATAAGGAACAGTTGGTGGAATTGGGTATGTCTAGTCTGATGAAAAGAAGGACTAGGGGAGACATGATAGCAGCCTTCTAATATCTCAGGGGTTGCCACAAAGAAGAGAGAGTCAAGCTATTCTCCAAAGTGCTTGAAGGCAGGACAAGAAGCAACGGATGGAAACTAATCAAGGAGAGAAGCAACCTGGAACTAAGGAGAAATTTCCTGACAGTTAGAACAATTAACCAGTGGAACAACTTGCCTCCAGAAGTTATGAATGCTCCAACACTGGGGGCTTTTAAGAGACTGGATAACCATTTGTATGAAGTGGTGTAGAGTTTCCTGCCTAAGCAGGGGGTTGGACTAGAAGACCTCCAAGGTCCCTTCCAACTCTGTTATTCTATTATAGTCTAGTCCAGTCTATTGTATTCTATTCTAAAGTTTAATAAATAAATATGTGAGTGTTATGCTATGGGAGACCATGCTATTCCTTCCAGTTTAGGACTGATTTTTCTTTCCATTATCTTGAAATGGACAGAATTGAATGTTTTCTCATGACAAAGCATCTGTTTGATCCCACTGTCACACCATATCACAATTCAGATCTCCTATTTATAAACTTCTACATCATTTAAAAGGAAGAGTCTGCTGTTTTCTCAGACTTAGGTAAGTCTTTAACACCACCGCTCTTTTTTTCCTCTTTGAAGAGCAAGGCTAAGTTAATTCAGTTATCCGCTATTGTTTACTCCGAACCACTTAAAGAAATTTATGAGCATGTAAAGCTTTTATGGCCCATCACTAGCATAACGACATGGCAACCGAGAATATAGATACCATCAGCGTCATGGCGCATATTTTTTTTTTCCCTGTTTTTTAAGCATCTCCAAACTCAAGAGATGGATGGAATGAAGAGATGCATGATAAACCTGTCAACTTTTTTTTTTTTTTTAATGTGAAACTGTGAGGACTAAGTCATTTTTTTTCTCCAGGGCTAACCCCACCTTCGAATAATAGCTGAACGAATCGTTGTAAGTCGAGGATCCACCCATACTAGCAAGCCCAGCCTTCTTCCTTAAAAAGCAAGGCGTACTTCCAACTGCATCCTGGCAAGAATGCAACCCATTCTCTTTTGTTTGGTCTTCCTTGCAATTATGCCTTCTGCACCATTAACCCTCACAGCGAGCAGCCTCTGACATTCAAAGCATCCCATGACAGGGAGGGAGACTTCCTCACTCTTGATCAATCACCACATTGACTCTGTGAATAAACTTGACATGGGTTTTGTTCCTGAAGAGCTTCAGGAAGGCTGGAGGCTGGCCTAACGCGCTTTTAATACGCTTCTGCTCCCGTTTGCCTGACCTCTCCAACGGGATGCGATTTGTCAAAGATACCACCTCGTGTGCCCAAACCAGCTTATCCCTCACCCCTACCGATAAATGAAATTTATTGCAATTCCATCTCCTGCGGGGGTTCGGCAGGCTGGCGTGGATATCTGCATAAATCAAACATCGGAGAGGAGGAAAAGGCAAGGAAATCATCATAAAAAAACAACAATGTCAAAAGGTGGGGGGAAAGGAAAAGAAAAGAGAGAAGGAAGGGTGGGGAAATTGGAACCTGAACAGCAGGAAACTTTTTTTTAAAATAAAATAAAATAAAAAACCTTTCGGCTCTTTTTCCATTAGGGAGTTTTGACAAGATAAAGAATGAACCTTCAACAAAAGCTCGCTCCGGAAAGCCGTGAGAAATCTAGAAGAGCGATAGACGTGCCTATTATGTTAACAATGAATGGCAGACCCCACCTTCTTCCTGCAGACGGAAGAAGAGAGCTCAGCCAACCCCAAAGTTTAAAAAAAAAAGATATTGCAAGTGGGGTGTTAAAAATAAGGGGGTGTTAATCTCCCAAGCCAGCTGCAGCTGTGTGCAAAATGCCTTGTTGCTGAAGGGGAAGCATTGACAATTGAAAATTGAAAATTGACAATTGAAAATATGGTACAGGATTCACTTCTGGGGGGTGTTAGCAAAGAGAACTTCGAAGGTTTTGGAACATATTTCGGGCTTGGACAACCTAGAACTATGCCGCCTACAGATGGACTTAAGTGTAGTACACAAAATTATCTGCTATAATGTCCTACCAGTCAATGACTACTTCGGCTTCAACCGCAACAATACAAGAGCACACAACAGATACAAACTCAATGTAAACTGCTCCAAACTTGATTGCAGAAAGTACAACTTCAGCAACAGAGTGGTCAATGTCTGGAATGCACTACTTGACTCTGTTGTTACATCCACTAAGCCCCCCTCCTTTAACCTCAAACTATCCACTATTGACCTTACCCCATTCCTAAGAGGTCTGTAAGGGGCATGCATAAGCGCACCATCGTGCCCACCGTCCCTGTCCTATTCTCCCCATTTATTCGTACCTATTTCCTGTATTCATACCCATGTTTATTGTCATCCCCTAATTCCAAGGGGAAGGTCAAGCAGCTGACAGGGAGTGGGAGTGTGGCTCCAGTGGCTGTGGAAGAAACTGGGGAAGGGCACAATCTGGCTGTGCTCTTCATCCTAGGGCATGCAGGGAGGAATGGAGAAGGGAGCAACATGGGTTATAGCGGGGGAAAGGGCCCTGATTCCCTTCATTAGCTGCAGCTGGGAAAACAGGATTTTAAAAGGGCATTTGCACACAGCACCTTGCTGGAAGCAAAGCATGAATTGTCTTGGTTTGCCAAGTCTTATCTGGGTTCTGGCGTCCCCCCAACTGTGTGTGTTTTGTTATCTTTTGAAATCTGTAATTCCTTATCCTGCCCTTTCTCAATAATTGCTGCAGCGTGGTTTGTGTTGATTTTTATTTATAATCTATATGTACTTTTGGGTTCGGACTGAATTTCTTCCCTTTAAAAACTGTTCTTGGGAGTTTTCTTTTCTCCAGCCAAAGGTAACCTGGACATTGGGGGCCAAGTTGGAGGTATTAAAGGGACTTCACCTACTTTTGTGACTTGGTTGCTTTTGTGCCACGTCCCGGGTCATCACATTTATTCTTATAACTATTATATTGTTAGTGATTGACAAATCAAATCAATCAATCAATCAATCTCCATAGAAAGCACATATGGCACACCTTTTGGAATCAATAAAGGAGAATGCGTGGAGTTCAGGACTGAGATGTGGGTTCCCTGGTACTCTCTGAGCTTGATTGGTTGCTTTCTTGCAGATGTTTCATTGTCCAACATGGAAACCTTACCAGTGATAGAAGGGAATGGGGGGGGGTATATAAACAGAGAGCCAACCCCACTCCTTTCAAGCACTGATGATGGTACCTAGTTGGCTGATGAAACGTCTGCAAGAAAACAACCAAACTCGGAGAGTAACAAAGATCCTTCATCTTTTGGACTCAACAACACACAGGTGGTCCTCAACATATGACCACAACTGGTCCTGGAATCTCTGCTGCAAAACCAGCTGGGACTTAAAGTGAGTTGGAACTGATTTTACCGCCTTTTGTCGCAGTCATTAAGAGAATCACAGCTACCGTTAAATACATCATGAGAACAATTCACCAGTGGAACAACTTGTCTCCAGAAGCTGTGAATGCTTCAACACTGGAAGTTTTTAAGAAGAGATTGGACAACCTGAAATGGTACAGGGTTTCCTGGCTAAGCAAGGGGTTGGACTAGAAGACCACCAAGGTCCCTTTCAACTCTGATTCTATTCTATTCTATTCTATTCTTTTATTATTCTATTCCTATCCTATCCTATCCTATTCCATTCCATTCTATTCTATTCTCTATTCTATTCTAATTCTATTCTATTCCATGGTTCCATTCTTCTGATGTGTTCTGTTGTGTTCTGTTCTGTTCTGTTCTGTTGTTTGTATTCTATTCTCTATTCTATTCCTATTCTATTCCATTTCTATTCTATTTCTACTCTATTGTTCTATTCTAATTCTATTCTATTCCATGGTTCTATTCTTCTGTTGTGTTGTGTTGTATTCTATTCTATTCCCACACATCCAGGATCTGAAGTCCTTTTGCACACTGCACAATGTTACTGGAGAGTTTTCTGTGCTCTAGGATCTAGACAATATTTTGCCCTAAGAGAACCTAAAAATAGGCACTCTTAATACAAGAAACTTAACAGTAGAATCATCTCCTGGTTCGTTAAGGTTTGCCTCAAGCCTGGCACTCAAGCCTGGCACCAACTAAAGATCATCTAATCATAGTTAGGTTGCTTTTTAACCGATTTGGAATTCTCTCTGTATTATAGACTTTGAGCTGTTAATGGTATTCAGCGCATCTTTCTTATATGTTTTTGTTTGTTTGCCTGTATACCATTTATGCGGCCATCCATCTCACAGCAGTGTATGAAAAGTAAAAGCAACAATGAAAATTAAACCAACAATTCGGATAACGAATGTCTAAAGTTGAAAAAAATAATTCCCATCTTACAACAGAAATTGCCAACGATGAATCCAATCATCCAACAGAACTCACTTAACCTCCTGGCCCAAATGTTTTTTACTGAACGTGTTCCTTAGCTTACAGTAAATTTTAAATCCTCGCTTTTTAATTGAATTCTCATTTTCTTTAAATTGTTCCTTGATTTGGATTTATTTTTAAGAAAGAAAGGGATTTTTTTTATTAAAAAAAACAGCAATTAAGCAACCTTTCATGAGCTCATCAAGGAAATACACCTTCAGAAATGCTAGACAATTAATTATAGACAATTGGTGCTGCCAATTAAATAACAGAATATGGAAGGCTAGGAAAAATGGAGTTTAATGATACTAAAAAGTTTGATCTGCACAAAATGGGCCTTGGAGTTAAGAGTTTTATCCTACTTTCTCCAAATCTCTCATTCCCAGGATGACTGCACTATGGTGTCAAAATATAAACATCATTTAGGAATTCAAACAGACCCCCAACATAAAATAAGAGGTTAATTTACATTCAAACTTAGCATTACTGTAAAAAAATCTCTCTGAAGCGGTTTATTTATGTTTCCTTTTTTGCTTCCTGCACTTTTCATCTCTTATTTTTTCCTAACGCTTCCTTTTTTAAAAATCCTATATTAACAGTCCTTGTTCAACTTTATCTTTCATCTTAAAATATATGGGAATATACATTCATGCATATACATATGAACTCAAATGGGACATCCAGCAGAGATGGATAAATGAGGGAGGTGAAAAGCTTAACACTGGTGTAGCTACTGCACATTTGGAATAAAAATCATAGGAATAGCATCACTTTATAATGCCGCGGTAAGTCCCACACGTAGAGTACTGCATCCAGTTTTGGTCACCACAATATACAAAAGATGTTGGGACTCTGGAAAGAGTGCAGAAAAGAGCAACAAAGATGAATAGAGGACTGGAGGCTAAACCATAGGAAGAACAGTTCCATGAATTGGATATATCTAGTTTCATGAAAAGAAGGACTAGGGGTGACATGACAGCAGTGTTCCAATATCTGAGGGGCTGCCCCAAAGAAGAGGGAGTCAAGCTATTCTCCAAAGCAACTGAAGGCAGGACAAGAATTAACAGATGGAAACTAATCAAGGAGAGAAGCAACCTAGAACTAAGGAGGAATTTCCTGACAGAACAATTAACCAGTGGAACAACTTGCCTCCAGAAATTATGAATGCTCCAACGTTGGACGTTTTTATGAAGAGATTGGATAACCATTTGTCTGAAATGGTATAGGGTTTCCTGCCTAAACAGGGGGTTGGACTAGAAGACCTCCAAGGTCCCTTTCAACTCTGTTATTCTGAATACCTGGGCTGTGGCAATTCTCCCATCCAGGAAAAAGGGATTTCTCTCTCTTTAGGACAAGAAAGTTTTTTAAAAAAAATACTCACCCTCTAGTGCCACAGAATCAGCGATAGGCAATGCTCCTTCAATAAGATAATGGCCAGGACAAATTATAACCCGGTCTCCTTCGTAGCAAGCATTCAAAGCAGACTGTGGATCGTTGTGGAACTAAGAAAGAACACACAGAATAATGAAAGCTGGCAAACCCAACATTGTGGGGCAATTACGTATCAAAAAGCAGAAAAGAAGCAGATAGGAACAACAGCTGAAGAACGAAGTTGGATTCAAGGTGAGATGAAAGCTAATATAATTCAGATAAGATTATCCCCCATTCGTTTCACCTCACCCAATCATTGCCTCAATTTTATTTATTTATTTCAAATGTTTATATGCCCGACCATCTTAAAAAGAACCCTGGGTAGTTTGTAACCAATAAAAACAGGATAAAAACAATAGAAATGGTACCAAAAATTCCAACTAGGAAGATTAGCCAGGTTTGGAATCTACACCTAAAACTTTTTTTTAAAAGGCTGTGGAGAGTTTGGCAGTTCAGCGACCTTTTGAGATAGTGAATGAAAAAAACCCAGACATTGTGTGGAAAATGTTCTGGCATAGCAGAATAGCTGTTGTGTATTTAAAACCCTTCAGATTGCTAACTCTGTAGTTGCTGAACATTTTAAGATGCCAATAATAAGCCATGATTACATTTGAGGACTAAGACCCAGATCTGAGTCACAATTAATTCCTTTATACTCTTGTTTACAGTTTAATACGATCATTTTTCTTCCCCTTTGGTGAATCAGCTATTTTTATTTTAGTTTCCTCTTATTTTCCATGATGCTTTGGTTGTGTTCGTGTTTGCTATACCTGGCTGGTTAGCCACCTTAAATGAAGCTTGAGGGTTGCTATAAAAAGAACCCAGGAAGTGCTATCTAGCCAACTCTTGAGCTTCTACAGAGAAAGGAAGATACCCGATCTCGCTAGAAATAATTTTAAACCAAGCCAACCTGGATTTCAATTTCTTCGTTGAAATGTTCCGGTGAAAGTTTGTCCCTGAACAGACATTGTAGGAAGCTTGACTGGATTGTAGCACAGACAACGTGGGTGATGATGGCATTAGAGGAACGGATTCCTTTTGCCTTGAGCCCAGCGTGCTTCTTATAACCAAAGACATATCTAAACAAAAAACAAAAAAACAATAAGCAGCTAGCTAAGGAGAGCCAGTTCGGTCTTAGTGGTTAAGGCTAGAAAGAGGGAGAATCTTGGGAACTGAAGTCTACAAGCCTTAAAAGTTGCCAAGGTTGGATACCCTTGGCTTATGTCATAATTGGTGTTACACATTGAGATGTTTCCTGCTCCAAAGTCAGAAATCTGCTTTGCATTCTGATAGAGTTGGTTGCAGGAATTGACTAGGTCTAGTTTAAGGGAGGAGGGACGCGGTGGCTCAGGGGCTAAGATGCTGAGCTGGTTGACCAGAAAGGTCAGCAGTTCAGCGGTTCGAATCCCTAGCACCGCATAATGGAGTGAGCTCCCCTTACTTGCCCCAGCTTCTGCCAACCTAGCAGTTTGAAAGCATGTAAAAATGCAAGTAGGAAAAGAGGGACCACTTTGATGGGAAGGTATCAGCGTTCTGTGCACCTTCAGCATTTAGTCATGCCGGCCACAGGACCACGGAGACGTCTTTGGGCAGCGCTGGCTCTCTTCGGCTTTGTAATGGAGATGAACACTGCCCTCCCAGAGCTAGAAACGACTAGCAAGCACGTGCAAGGGGAACTTTTACCTTTAGTTTAATGAAAAGAAGGACAAGATAACAATGTCCCAATATCTCAGGGGCTGCCACAGAGAAGAGGGAGTCAAGCTATTCTCCAAAGCATTTGAAGGCAGGATAAGAAGCAATGGGATTAAGGAGAAATGTCCTGACAGTTAGAACAATTCACCAGTGGAACAACTTGCCTCCAGAAGTTGTGAATGCCCCAACACTGGAGGATTTTAAGAAGAGATTGAATAGCCACTTGTCTGAAATGGTATAGGGTTTCCTGCTTGAGAAGGTGGGGGGGCTGGACTAGAAGACCTCCAAGGTCCCTTCCAATTCTGCTATTCTATTATTCTGTAACAGTAACTGCAAAAATTGCAATTGCAGCTTTTAAAATCGCAGGTGGCACACACTTCTGATTTCCTCCTATTGTCCTGACACAGTTACTTTCTAGCCAACTCCTGAGCTTCTACAGAGAAAGGAAGATACCTGATCTCGCTAGAAATAATTCTAAACCAAGCCAACCTGGATTTCAATTTCTTCGTTGAAATTGAGAGGGGGGAGGGGAATTAAATCCATTAATTGCCATCAAATATTTAACCTATAATCAGCTTGGGCTCCGAGACCGAGGTAAGCAAACAAAACCCTTCCACAAAATAATTTAAACCAAGTGGGAGCGGAAAATAGACTTCTTTGCATGAGGTTCTGCAGGCAGTGTAAATCCTTTGTTCCAGAGCTTTAAACCCTTCAATATTTGCTCTACCTGAATAGGAGGTTTTCAATCATTTTTAGCTTCTGTTTCTGGTGCTCGATCTGGTCGTAGAGTTTCATCCCTTCCGCCACAGAGACGTTGTCTTTCTCCGAGTCAGAATCGCAGGCCGAGAGGCTGCTCCTCAAGACTTGGAACTTGCGGTAGAGCTCCTCGCACTGAGAGAGGCGGCTGTGATAGTCGGACACCAGAGCGGGAGAGACGCGGTCTTCCGTGATGTCGTAATACCTAGAATGCCAAGATTGGGAACAACCGGAATAATGGAACCATACTTACGTTGCAAATATTCCTGGACGTCCACGCCGAAAGCCCTCAATTTAAAAAGTCTGCAAGTTTATTTATTTGTATCTCCCCTTTGTTGTTTTTACAAATAACCCGAGGAAGATAACCTATCCAACACACGTTTCTCCTATTTTCCGAACAACAACCCTGTGAGGGGGGTCGGGCTGAGAGGGAGTGACTGGCCCAAAGTCACCCAGTCAGCGTTCATGCCTAAGGCAGGACTAGAACTCACCGTCTCCTAGTGATTGGCCCAAAGTCACCCAGCCAGTATCCATGCCTAAGGCAGGACTGGAACGCACTGTCTCCTGGTGATTGGCCCAAAGTTACCCAATCAGTGTTCATGCCTAAGGCAGGACTAGAACTCACCGTCTCCTAGTGATTGGCCCAAAGTCACCCAGCCAGCATTCATGCCTAAGGCAGGACTAGAACTCACTGTCTCCTGGTGATTGGCCCAAAGTCACTCAGTCAGCTTTCATGCTTAAGGCAGGACTAGAACTCACTGTCTCCTGGTGATTGGCCCAAAGTCACTCAGTCAGCTTTCATGCCTAAGAAAGGACTAGAACTCACTGTCTCCTGGTGATTGGCCCAAAGTCACCCAGTCAGCTTTCATGC